AATATAAAATAAAAAATGAACAAGTTCTTCTCACCAAAAATACCATTCAGCAAGTGAAAAGACAAGTCACATATTCACATTATGTATTAATAATGAGAGATTCATAAATCCTTCAAGTCAGTAAGAAACATTTTTTCCAATATAAGATGGCAAAGCAGGGGAGCTGAACCAGCACGTTACAAAAAGTAGGTAGAAGAAATATGTGTGTCTCCATGTCCAATAATTTCAGTTTATTTGCTTCGGTTTGTTTGAGACGGGGTCTTGTTGTATACATAGCCCAAGTTGACCTCAAACTTATGATTCTCCTGCCTCAACCTCTCAACAGCAATATTTTTGCTTTGTGTTTGTTTCTGGTGCTAGGGATTGAATCCAGGGCCTCATTCATGCTACGCAAGCACTTGAAGACTGACCTACATCCCCATCCCGTGTCCAGTGACTCTTACAGGTATGCTAGGTTAGAGCATATGGCTATAACATTACATAGTAAAAACCTTTAGACTCACACCAGTAAGTGGGGGGTGTGGGGCTTACAGCGACCAGGACTCTTACAGTGGTGTCAGGAGTACTACTGGACAAGCACTGCAGGAAGCTTTCGGGGTTATCTGTTAACCTTGAATACATGAGATTTATTAGTCTAGAATTTTCATTCTGAGAAGCACATACATGTGCACATAAAAACACATACGAGATTATTCATAGCAACATTTTTCCACAGTCAGAACTGCAGGCCACTCAGATGCCCATCAAGACAGTAACCATGATGGTTTGAATGAGAATGTCCCCCAGAGACTCCAAGCATTTGGACATTTTGTCCCCAGTTGGTAGCACCGGTTTGGGAGGTCTTAGAAGGTCATCCTGGGGGAAACACATCATTGGAGGCGGCTTAGAGAGTTAAGCCTTGTGGGATCCCCATTTGTTCTCTGTTTCCTGTACCTGCTTGAAGATGTGAGCCTCTGCTTTCTGCTCCTCCTCCAGCCACCTCTGCCGCCATGTCTTCCCGCCATGACGAACTCCTACGCCTTTGGAACCATAAGCTAAATAAACGCTTCCTTCTATAAACTGCTTTGGTCAGTGCTCCTATCACAGCAACAGAAACTGATACAGTAACAGCTAAGTAAATCATGGTATCATCTGAGAGTCAGGGTTGGAAAGCTGTTTCTCAAAGGACCAAATAGTAAATATATGTATGTATGTCATAATAAATTCCATTACTTTGTATGATGACCTAAAAAATTCATTTAAAAAAGAAATACAAAGGTTCTGGAGAGATGACTGTTCAGTGGTTAAGCGCATATACTGCTCTTGGAAGTTCAGTTCCCAGCACCCATGTAGGGAGGCTCACAACTGCCTAGAGCTCAATTCAGGGGGATCCAACACTTCTGGCCCCCCCAGTCACCTTGACTCATATTCATTCTCTCTCTCTCTCTCTATCTCTCTCTCTCTCTCTCTCTCTCTCACACACACACACACACACACCCTCTTAATCTTTAAAAAACAACAAGAAAGAAAGAAGCCGGTTGTGGTAGCACATGCCTTTAATCCCAGCACTCCAGAGGCAGAAGCAGGCAGATCTCTATGACATGGAGGCCAGCCTGGTCTACACAGTAACTTCCAGGCCAGCTAGGACTACAGGGGACCCTATCTCAAAAAGAAAAAAAAAAAAAAAAAAAACAGGTTGCAAAAATGGCTCAGCAGTTAAGAGCACTGACTGCTCTTGTAGAGGACCTGGGTTCAGTTCTCAATTCCCACCTGTTAGCTAACAACCATCTGTAACTCCAGTTCCATAGATGCACTTGCATGCATGCAGGCAATACACAAATACACATAAAATAAAAATAATAAAATATTGAAAAGATGAAAATTTAGTATGTGAGTGTATGAGACTGTCAAACAACAAAAAGCAATGAAAGCAACACACATGGACACCGATGTGGACATACAAAGCTATGTTTCTTGTGAGAAGAGACACTGTTTGGCTTTTAGGAGAGTCTAGATATTCTGGGCTCTTGG